ATTTGGGAAAGGGACTGGCGATTTGTGAATTTTGGTCTCCACAGTGGTAGGGTAGGGATCCTGGAACAAATCCCTGGTGGATACTGAGGGGTGACTATGTATATAAATATGCATGTTTACTGAGCAAATAGAAAATATGCAGATGTAGTCCTTGTTTCTGTAACTGGTCCTGAAGTCTTAGGTGATACATATGCTTTCTTCATTGACTACCGGCTGTTCCCTCTCTTGCTGTCAGCTGGAATCTCAGCTTCTCTGCTTTTTTACCCACACACTCTCCTCCCTGAAGAGTCTGCCTGTTTTGTGGTTTTATAGATTCTTTTTTTAAACTAACCCTCAGTATTGAGCATGGAAGATCTAAGACATGCTTGGGGGGGGGGGTCCCCTGGCTTCCACCTACTTTCCCTCTATTATTTAGCAGCAACCTTTTTTTCTTCTTGCTAGTTGATACCAATTTTTCCAGCCAACAGAATAGGACAGTTTTTTTTTTGGGGGGGTTTCACCCTCAGAGTTCAAAATTGCCAGATGGCAGTCTTACCTTCTAATTCAGTGGTGGGGAACCTATGACACACATAGTGCAACAGGCTGTTTGTATCATTGAAACCTCTAAAAAGATTTGACATCACTATATTCATTGGAAACATTGGTATGTAGTGTATGTGGTAAGGCCATTTAATCCTATGGGCATGAGAATATTGTGTACTTCTATGAAATGAGCTTCTTGATAGATACAGTGTTGTACAGAATGAAATGATAGTGGATAGTACATTCTATTTCTATGAATGATGTGCAGGCCAAAAGCATTAAGGGAAATTCATATCCAGAATATCATAAGGGAATCCATTATGGAAGAAGACCAGATAAAAATCAATCTGCCAACATCCTCCCATGGAATATTGGGAGCACAGTTTTGGGCTTGGTGCTGGCAGATTTGATGTGTAGCAATAGTTTAGCTAGATTTGCTTTGGCAAGAACTAGTTATTGTTTTTGAACTCATTCAAAGCCTCCATTCCTGCTACCATGGCCATTTTTTCCTTTGGTCCATTTTACAAGCGCTTATAGGGTAGGGAAAGAAACTGAGTGATATCCACAGAGTATATCATTTTACCTCCACTGTAATGGATGCATTCCACAGTTGAGGTGCCTACCTAGTCTCTCATGGTTCCGTGTTGGTGCTTAAGCTTCTGCTACTCTAGGAAGTGTCATCCTATTAAAATCAGGAAGCCCATCTCAGCCATTGCATCCTCCCAGTCATAGCTGTTTTACAGAGGGGAGTGACTACAAAACCTCTAGAAGATTGTAGATGGTCCCTCACTAATACCTTTCTCAATGCCTTAGAATAGGTTGTGTCTTCTCAGCTCTCTGGTAGAAGAAAAGTGGGAGGTTGGTGTGTAAATCCAGCCCAACATTCCTGTATCTTTAATTCTTTAGAGCCCTTCTCTTATTCTAGGAAAATCGTTACCAAAATAGTTTAGTAAATATATATATATTAGCCTGATACAGTGTTACAGTCTACTCTTCTTGGTTTAACACCTCTAGAATCCATTCTTATACATGGTCAGTGGTGTCCTGCTAGTTTATCAGTAAGACCTTGCAATTCTTTTGGGTTATAGTGTATATCTGCCCCTCTGAAGTCTGCTGTGGTTTGGCTCTAATTAATGGGCACGTAATTATGGTGGCTTTTGAGGAGGATGAGCATCTCTTTTCAAGGTGTCGCCAATGCAAGGTTGTTTGAGGGTTTTTAAGCAGTCGAAAGTTAGTCTTTTCACACAAGGCCAAACTAATTCTGTTAAGAGAAATTCAGCAGAACTTGAAAGTTCAAGTTGGTTAATTTCATCTGTATCCAAACATATGTTCTCTTTCTACATGTAAGGATTTCATTGTTTATTCATCTGTGCCTTAACTTTTACAGGAGAAACTTTTTGTGTAACTGTGGATTAAACTATTGCTATAATTCAGCAGCCCTCATAATTAAAAATTTTATGGTTGATTTTTAGCTAAATTAGCTCTGTGGCTACAAAAAAGAACAGATTGTTTTCAAGCTGTCACGGAAGCTCTCAAACTGTGACTTGAGCTGAGGGTTAGACCTGAGTTTATTTTTCTTGAAGTGCTTTAGTGCATTTAAAAGAATCTACCCCACATCGCAGTCCTTATTTATATTTCTGTTGTTATGGTCAAGTGCAGCAGGTACTTGGCCTTCCAAAGCATATGTCGCACTGCTTTCTTGTTCATGTCAGCCATAAGTGGTAGCTTAATTGTGATAACAATACGGTCAAACTTTGGTTTGTGAGTATAATTCATTCCAGAAATATGCTTGTAATCCAATGCACTTTGTACATATATCAAAGGGAATTTCCTCGTAAGAAATAATAACCCAGAAGATCTATTCCACAAACCCAAAATAGTCATATAAAATGATTATAATGCTGTAATATAATACAAAATAATGTACAAAATACACTGTAAAGAAAAATGAATTAACCCACATTTAACCTTTGAAAACCTTTGTGGCTAGTGTGAGGGAGACAAGGTGGAAGAGGATTGCTGTGTAGATCCACTTTCACTATAACTCATGGAATTGTTGCATCTTGGCTCAGTGGAATCTTTTTCTTTTCACGCCACTTTAACAAGGAACCTATCCAGTGACATTTCCTTTCGCCTTCTTGTGAGAATTTTGTGGAAGTGTGACGTTGCATAGTCCTTAAACAGATTCATTGCTTGTATTTACTATAGCCTGTTTTGGGAGGTGGTTTTCTACAAAATTTTGCACTGTTTCCCTCATTTTACAGATTACTCTAATCTCACTTGAAGTGAGGGATTCCTCCACCTTTTTCTTTTCCTCCTCTGCAGATAAGATCTCACTAATACCTTTACTGGCTGTTGGGAGACAGTCACCTACAATCCTGCAGAGAGACTAGAGGGAGGGAGGAAAGAAGGGAAGGAGAGAGAGAGTGCGGGAGAGGGAGAGGAGCTTTTGGCTCAGTGGCGGTCCTGTGACATTTGGCATCATACACTGTTCGTATTGCATGACACTGCAATTTATCGGATTAAAGTTTAGTAGAAAGGTGTGCTTGTCTTGTGGAACACTCCCAGAACAAGTTACTTGCAATCCAACATTTTACTGCACTTGCTGTGGTTACTAGTATCTCATTTCCCATTGGCGTGGAGCTCACCCTTGCACTCAAGCTCAAGGATGTGACCAAACTAACCCTCAGATCCCCTTTTGAGAATGTGTCTCCTGGGGCCACTACCAGTGCCAACTGTGCATCAGTCTACACTGAGAGGCAAAGCACAGAATAATTTAAAAAGGAGAGTTTAATAGAATTGTTAAGCTAAATGTTGGGAGAGAAGCTAGAAATACGAAGAGAGTGCCAAAGGAATAGGGCTGAAAGTCCCAAAAAAGGCCAATTTAGGTTTTTTTTTTGTACCAGGAATGGAACTCACAGCCTTGCATTTGCCAGGGAGGCGCCACTGAGCTATATCCCTGGCCACTGAAAAGGCCAGTTTAAAAGAAGGATCTTTTATATAAGGGGTTCAGGCCCCCATTCAGGTTGGAAAAGGTACAGTTGCAGCCCGAAGTTGCTAATGATGGAGGAGTTTACTGAGTTCCTGGCCCAGAGCCTGGTCTACAGGAGCTGGGAAGCCAGGGAAACAACCATCTGGTGTAGCTGGGAGGCTGCTGGCTTGTGCATAGGGGTAGTCACGCACTGCTGTGGATGTGAGAAGCTGCAGTGTGTGGTGCCTTTGCTGGGAGGAGGTGTCAGGTGGCTGAGGGACATATTCTAGGGCAAAGCACCGTTGGATGTCCTCACATATCCACCATACAGTAGTGGCCAGGAAAGGGTAAAATGCTGCAGGTAGAACCAGGAGATATCTTTTCTTCTTGCAATTCTGTCTGTGGCCTTAACAGGCAAAGCAGAATGTTGTGTTTAAAATGCTACTCCGTTATTGCTTTATGGATGTCAAAGGAGGAATTCAAGGTTGGAGTCAAATCATTGGTAGTTGGCCAGTCATACCATGTTGTTCTACTCCAAATGGGTCAGTAGCTTTCTCTTCCACTGAGTCAAATCAAAGCTGTTCATAATCGGGCTCTTCACTACTTTGACTTCATACCACTCACTCTCTTTTTTTTTTTTTTTTTTTTTTTTTTTTCTCCGGTACCGGGAACCGAACTCACGACCTTGCGCTTGCCAGGCAGGCGCTTTTGCCGCCGAGCTAAATCCCCAGCCCCCCCACTCACTCTCTGTGGGCTCTGCTGCGGTCATCCAGGCTTCTTTGCTGATTCTGGAATGTATCTCCACACTCCTGATTTAAGGCTCTTGTACTAGCTGGTCCTTCTTGGAGAGCTTTTTTCCTAGATGTCTCCATAGTGAGTTCCTCACTTTAGTCTCGCTGAAATGTCAACTTCTTAAGAGGGCCTGCCGTGGACCCCCTTGTTTACTATAATTTCCCTTCCCACATGCCTGCCACCCTCACATTACTGGGCTGTGTCCACAGTACTTTTCACCTGATGTACTGTGTAATTTACTTACTACATCTGTCTCTGCCTATTGTAATATCAAGTACTTGGAAGGTATAAGGAGCAGGTTTGTTTTTGACTCTTACTTACCCAAATATCTAGAACAGTTCCTGGTACATTGTAAGTGTTTAGTAAATACTTAAATATTATAGCAGACAATATAATACTCATTAAGATTGCAGTTTAACAAAGCAATTCTGATTTTATTAAAAATAATTTTACTACTATGGTGTTAGGTAATTTTCCTTTTATTTTTGGATGGTTTATTATTTTGACTGATTAGGTTGATATATTTTTGGGCTTTTTACACTATAGAATAAGCACTGTCTGTGTTTGTTACTTTCTCTAAGTTGTTTTTCAGCTTCTGTGACCTTTCCCACTTAGGGAGATGAGTAAGCTGGATAACTATATCTTAATTTTTTATATTTTAGAATTAAGTCATGGTTCATGGAGAGCTAACTGATTTTTTAAACTTTGTTTTTAGGTGCTGAATGTGGAATAAATGCAGATGTTGAGAAACATCTTGAATTGGGCAAGAAATTACTTGCAGCTGGACAGCTAGCTGACGCTTTATCTCAGTTTCATGCTGCAGTAGGTTAGTATCATAACCAAACACCAAGTAGTTATTTACTGAATACTATGTCATGACAGTTTTTAAAAATAAGATTTTAAATAAACATTATTTCATGTTAAATACTAAAATAATAAAGTATAATTCTTGAATGCGTATATATTTGACATGAGAGGTAACTGAGGCATACTATCATAATTACTAAAAAGAACTCAAGATTTTGACAAAATTTTTCTCAATGTATTATGTAGTTTTCTACCTTCTTAAGCAGATTTCACTGAATGCAGTTTAATGTTACTGATGACTTGGGTCAACATATAGTAATTACACTGATGCCCTTGAAAGATGCTGTGGGTCACTGCCTCTTCAGCATTGGTCAGATTCCAGCTGGCCTTTATGCTGTTTCTTCATTTAGCTTACTTATGTGTCTGTAGCATCAGTTGTCATTATAGCTTTTAATTTGTCAGGACTGCTGGTTGTAGTGGTGCACTCCTGTCACCCCAGCACTCAGGAGGCTGAGTCAGGAGGATTGCTGCGAGTTTGAGGCCAGCCTGGGCTACAGAGTGAGTTTAAGGCCAGCCTGAACTGCGTAGTGAAACTCTGTCTCAAAAAGAAAAAAAAAGGACTGAAAAGTGAGATGAGATGACTGACCACAGTAGGTATTTAGAAAACGCTTGCACTAGCTGGTTTTCTTGTAAGTCACTACATAAACTTTTATGGTAGGACTTTTTTGATACTGATTTTCTTCAAAGTTGTCCTTTAATTTACTCATACATTTCATTTTGATTTGAGATGGTTAACAGTCAACAACCCGACAGGTCAAGAAGATAGTGTTCCCAGAAGAATCATAATCCTATTGTTAAAAATTTCTCTAAGAACAAAAACAGATACATTTTAATTTGGCAATATTTTTCTTTATGCTTCTTCTTAAACTCAGATTTTTGTTGATTATTAGCTTCCTGGACTAATAAGAAAAATAGGTTTTAATTTTGTCTTTGTCATTGATAATAATGTATATTGGTCCTGTTATGTAAGAAAGTATGGGTTTAAATAAGTTACCTGCAGATTCCTAGCAGTGTTTACTGTGCCACCTAAAGGAATTTTTGTGAAGATTAGGTAAGAGTAATGACTATAAAACAATGAAAGAAAGAAAGAAAGAATAATGACTAGACAGATTTTTTTTGACACATGTAAAGAAATCTAAATTTTTTTAACTCTGGAAATTAAGACTTTTCTATAAATAGATTTCATGTATCCACAGAGTTATTCTTAACTATGGAGTTTCCCTTAGGAAGTTTGCACTTGAATGATTAACTCACCTTGAGATGTGGTACTTGGCTCAACAATTTGTACAAGTTGTTTTTGTTAAGGACCGTTTGCTATATGACCATATCATTACTAAGTCTGTACTTTCTCTGGTGATTCAAACTATCTTCAGTGGTACAGCATGGTGATTTGAATTTCTTTTCAGTTACTGTGTTGTCTTAAAAAAAGCATGCCTTACGACAAAATATTTCTACCTAAGGGCTGTGGCATATTGTTAGTGTACTTCAAAAAAACTACTTTCAGTTCACTGCTGCATTATAAGACTTCTTAAGATGTGTTTCTTCCCAGAACAGCCAGCAAAATATTTACTGAAAAAATGTAAACAGTAAAGTGGAATCATGGTAAATTATTTGTAAAATTCAATTTTGGAGATGTAGGTGTAGGCAGAGAATTCATGAGTAAAAACCAAACTACACAGGAAATACTTCAAACAATCAGCAACTTGAGATCTCATCTTACTGAAAAGTTTTTGTACATCAAAAGAAATCACTAACAGATTAAAAAGAAAACCCACGAATTGGGGAAAAAATTTTAACCAACTCTCCGACAGAGGGTTTCTATCTAGAACATGTAAAGAATTAAAAAACATCAGGCCTCCAAAATTCAAAGACCCAGTCTGAAAATGGGCATCTGCGATGAATACACACTTCTCAGATGAAGAAATACAAATGGCAAATAAATACATGAAAAAATGTTCGACATCATTAGTCATTTGAGAAAAGCAAATTAAAATAATACTGAGATTCTATCTCACCCCAGAAAGAATGGCTATCATCAAGAAATCAACCTATAACAAATGCTGGAGAGGCTGTGGCGAAAAAGGAACCCTTCTCCACTGTTGGTGGAGTGTAGACTTGTATAACCACTGTGGAAATGTGTGGAGATGCTTCAGAAAACTAATATTAGAGGTCCCATTCAACCTAGCTATTCCTTTTCTGGGTATTTTACCGGAAGAACTGAAAGCATCATACTACAGTGATAGATGTGCCCTCATGTTTATAGCAGCACGATTTGTCATAGCTAAATCTTGGAAACAACCCAAATGCCCATCCACTGAGGAATGGATAAAAAAGATTTGGTAGTTTTATTACTCAGCTATAAAGAAAGATAAACTTGAGGATTTTATACATAAATGGATGCAACTAGAGATGATATTCAAAAGTGAAATAAATCAGACCCGCATGTGTAAACATCGTATTGTCACCCTAGTGTAAGAACCTGAAAGAGTAAATAAAATCCAAAGGTACAATAGATATTGTGAAAGGGAAAGAAACTGCCCAAAAGGAAAGAACAACTGGGATGAGGGAAAGGAGAAAAGAAAGGCAAAGGGGGAAAAAGAATATATGCTCAAGGTAGCTAAGATAATTGTACTGCCAGTTTCTGTTGGTTTATTGAAAGGAACAGTTAATGCTTAATATGTTTTGACCAATTTTGCTTGCTTATATCTAGTAATCTGAACAACTACTTTGAAGACAACAGTATGTCATATAACAACCATTGCTGAATTCATACCATCTTGTTTTTTAGAATTCTGTATCGTTTTTTATTTTTTTTTATTTTTTACTCTGTTTAAAGTTTCATTAAATGTTTATTAATTCATTAAAGTGTTTACACTTTTCAACTTCTAAATATGATAATGTACTTTCTTTAACTTGTGTGATTAGAAAATTGATGTTATACAGTAACAATAACAAAAAGAAAACGGATGTTAGTTTGTAACAGAATTTGGTTATTAGTGTTATATCAATAGATAAATTATTCTAATGCTACATTTGATATATATTTATGGTTGTGACACTTTTCCATTTTCACATTTGAAAACTTAGGTGATATGTTTTGAAATTACATGGGCATGTTCTGTTTTATGATTACATTTTTACATAGTAAGAGCTTTAGGTATTAAAACTCAATAGTAACATAAATGATTGCTTGCATATTGTAGTAAAGGTAGATTGCTCATTTGAGCTGAAATTTTTTTTGTAATGTAGCATATAAATGTGTTTGGCAGGAGTTTAAGATTTGGAAGTGATAAGAGATATTTTTGATCTGTTGGAAACTGATTTAAGGGACAAGAAAGTTCTTTTTTCCAACAGTCTTCTTTTTTTTTTTTTTTTTTCTTTTTTTGTCTTTGTAGCCCAGGCTGGTCTCGAACTCGCAATGATCCTCCTGCCTCAGCCTTCTGAGTGCTGGGATTACAGGCATGTGCCACCACACTGGGCTTTCCAACAGTCTTCTAGTGCAGTTGTATCTATTTCAGACGCAAATTTTGTTTAGATTGATCATTACGAAAAAGCACTTCAGGTATGAAGCATTCCCTGCTGCTGCTGCTTCCTCTTGCCTCACATGAGAATGGGAGACAGATGTTACTGTTCACATTTGACAGAGGAAACAGTGCTCCAGTAACTTTCCAAAGCTCATATTCCAGCTCCTGTGTGAGCTTGTCTTAGATTGTGAACTTGTCTTAGTTGCTTTTTCTTGTTGCTGAGACAAAATACCCAACACCCAAAGTTAAATGAGGGTTTACTTAGCTCAGTTTGTGGAGGTTTCAGTCCGTAGTTGGCTGGCTCTGAGGAAGAGTGGCTTGGCAGAGGGGCATCGCAGAAGAGAAAGAGTTCGTGAGAGCAGAATAGGAATACAGCCGAAGCAGTAAGAGAGGGAGAGGGAAGGCGGGGGAGGGAGAGGGAGAGACAGAAGACGGGAGAGAAACAGACGCAGAGACGGACAGAGACAGGCAGGCACAGAGAGACAGACAGACAAGCCGCTTTCTGTTCCTTGCATTGTACCCAGTCTGCTGGGATTAGGGCGGTGCCAACCCAGTCACTGGACTGACCCGGCAGTCACCCGCCCTTAATCCCAGCATTGCACCACAGTCAACCACACACTCTCCATTCAGCCACCTCCCAAAAGATTCTGTGACCACGTAGGCTTTGGAGGGACACAAACTGCGACAGAACTTCTCACAGACTGGTATTTTCCTCTTCCCCCTCACTCCCCTGGTGCTCAGTAGATGTTTGAATGAATGAGGTTGGGTTATCTGGCAGCAAGAATAAACATCTTCTGTATCGACGCTAAAGAATTGCCCCCTCCACTTCCCATTACCAACATTTACAGCAGTGTATACAGTTGGCGTTCTGATGTGTTTTCCTCAGGTAGTATTGTCTTTAGTAGGGCTAATTTCCTCATATTTGAATGATAGTTTTTTGAGTAGACCTTAAATCCATTTCCTATGCTCAAATTTCTACTAAACTATTATAATAATATGAATGATGTACTTTAAAATGAAACCTAGGACTTCCGCATGTAGGTTTGTAAGTAGTTTACTTAATGAACTGCACTGCTTATTGCATGCGTAGCAGGAAAAGTTTATTTTCGGGTTATCAGATCTTGTATAGTGAGGAAGTAAGCATGAGCATAGTGTAAATTTTTTTTTTTTATTTTAAAGATAAAAGGAGGGAAACATTAACAGACATACAACATTTTACAACATATCACAAGCACAATACAGACAATACAGAGTTACAAACAAAGTGGTAGGGAATTAACAATGGTGGTTGCATTACATATTGATATCTTCAAAGTGGCTTCTCATGAAAACAGATATAGACATGCAATACTGGTCAACCAAAGACTCATTGACAGTTTCTTTCAGCATAGAAATAGAAGACAGGAGAACAACCATGTTATCTATCCTGTATATACATACATACAAAATTTCTCCTTCTTTCCCTTCTCTTTTCCCACATCCCAGAAGCCCTTTACTCTTCAGTGGTTTCCTATCATTTCACAGTGTCTATCATACCTCCGAGTTTAAATTAACTCTTTCAAGTTTTTAGTGTAAATTTCTTAAACCAACTCTTGTTTTAGTTGCTAACTCTGTCCGGTGATGGAGGAGTAGACCATAGTTCCAGGAGTATAGTTGTCTTAGGACACAGAGATGGGGAGAGAAAGTATCTTGATTTAACATAGAAGTGGCCCCGTACTTCTCAGCATGATTTTTGGTTTATTTGAGTTATTGTTACTTGACTCTCAGAAGGTACAGGTAGAAATGAACTCAGTTTCCTCTCCTGTCCTCTTAGAACACAGAATACTTCTGTGTCATCGTCACCAGAATGGGTGGGGATTTCTTCCCACCAAGCACTGTGCTCCTAAAGATTGTTTGTGCCCACTGGTTAGGTGACCTCTAATTAATTTCAGTCTGACACTGTTCCCTGGAGGTGGCATCATACCCCATAGTTGAGAGCACAACTGCCCTTTACCTACCCCCCTCCCACAGGTGCCCCAGGTGGGTTGATAGGTGCTGACCTCCTGGGCATAAATCAGGGGTCCCCTGGCCCCCTCCTTCGGCTCAGTTAAATGTGCTAACTGAGAAATATATTCTCTGTTTTATTGTAAAGGACACGTGAACAGCCAGATGGAAGAGGTGCAAGAGAGGGCAAGGAAGGGCGGTGGAGCTGGAGGAAGGAAGGGCGGTGGAGCTCCCTTGCCCTGTGGGCTGTCCTACCCTCCTGGAGTCTCCACATACTTAGGGAGCCCCAAACTCTTCTGAACCCTGGCCTTCTGGGTTTTTACGGAGGGTTTATTAGGTAGGGATGATTGATGACATCATTGGCCACTGATTATAAATTCAACTGTAAGCCCCTTTTGCCTTTCCTACAAAGATCAAGTACATACAGAGTTTGCCAAAAAAATGTATACACACTTCAGGAAAAGAAAAACATATAAATATATTAATGCTAAATTTATTGAGACATCATGAGATTAATACAAGTCACCTATGGCCTCTGCAATTACAAGAGATGTTTAGAGTGATGGCTGTGAGCTTCGAGACATTTATTAGCATGGCGAACTACTGCTTTGGGGAACTTTGTTCACTGAGATTACTGCACATGCATTTTAAATATCTTCTCTGAGGGCCGGCAGTATAGTGGGTTTTCTGTGATATATGACATCATAACACCATCTGTTGAAAAAACATCACACTATTTTTCTTTTATTGTACATACACATTTTGGACTCTATATTTCATAATACTGCAGATTCCTGATTTTTGTAGGTTCAGTGTTATGGATTGGGATTTCAGCCTCATATTTTAAAAATACCTAAACACTGAATAGTAAAATTGGTGAAAGTAAACGCCCTCTAAATAGTATAGACATGTTTATAGTTAGGTGCATCATATAAAATCTATGCTATACATGATTTTCTTTGAAGATTTTTTCTTCATGAGCTGGAATGGTTAGGTTTTTTCTTACTTGCAGTGCAGTAAGATTTTTACTGAAAGTGATTTCTTGATAAAATGCCCAAAGCTACCAATAAGCATTCTTCTTAAAAGAACTTCACACTAAGTTCAAATAAATTGTGCCAAGTTTCGAAAATGTCCTTGCTGATTTCATGTGAGAAGATGATCTGAGTATCTGGCGAGGCATATCTGTTTAACAGTCATTTCTTATTTTATTTTTTTTTTAATTTGAGACAGGGTCTCGCTAGTAGTTTAGGCTGGCCTTGAACTCACTATGTGTCCTAGGCTGGCCTCCCATCGCAGTTCTCCTGCCTCAGCCTTCCTGAGTCCTGAGATTACAGGCATGTGCCGACACACCCAGCTTTTGTTCTTTTAAATATTAACTCCTTTACTCTCTGTCGCTAGTCTTCCTCATTTGATTTCCCTTTGTTGTCCTTGTAATTTGTACCTTTATTGCTTCACTGCCACTTTAGGTGACATTTGTGAGAATCAGAGATTGCATAATATACCAGTTGTCAGAAGTTGATAATTTTCTAAAATCTTAAGACTAAATGCTGAAAAAAAAAAAAGACTAAATGCTGTTGGGCCAGGCGTGGTGGTGCACGCCTATAATCCCACCTCTCTGGAGGCTGAGGCAGGAGGATCGTTCCGAGTTTGAGACCAGCCTAGGCTACAAAGTGAACTCAAGGCCAGCCTGAACTGCATAGGGAGACCCTGTCTCAAGAAGACAAAAAAAAAAAAAAAAAAAAGAATAAATGCTGTCCACTTTTTTTTTATGGTGCTGGTGATTGAACCCAGGGATTTGAGCTGTATCACCAACCCTTTAATTTTATTTCTCTCTTTTTTCTTTTTAACTTTTAGATAGGATAGCTGGAATTCCAGGCATCGGTTACTGCACCTGGCTGAGAATCCAGTTTCTTAATTCTGTATTTCACTTAAGAAAAGCCCAGGAAAGACAAATACTAAATTGAATACTTAACAGAAGTTATGAGTTGAACTGGGCATGGTGACTCATGCCTATGATCCCCATGTCCTGGGAGGTTGAGGCTGGAGGATGGAAAGTTTAAGCCCACCTGGACACCTTAGCCATTTAATGAAACTGTCTTAAAAAAAAAAAACAACCAGGGGATGTATATTGTTCATTGTGAAAATCCTGACTACAAGGGAAAAAAAGATATTAGCTGAATATAATTAGCATTCTTGACCAGGGGTTTGCAAACTTTTCTCCTGCATGGCCAGATAAATGTTTTAGGCTTGCAGCCATATTCTCATGTTTTTCTTTAGTCTTAAAAATGTTCAGGTTCTTAACTGAAGGCTGTGCGTTGGATTTGGCTTGGAGACTTACAGTTCTGGCCTCTATGCTGGACTTACTTGCAGTAATCCTGCTGAGCAACATACTTTGTTTGCATGAAGTATATATAAAAATATACGAAACATATTTAGATATGTATTTTGGCATTGGTGATTGAATCCAGTGCCTTCCCCAGACCTTCCATGACTCCTTTTTGGTGAAGAAATTGTTTTCTCAATGCCTTTCCTTTTTTCTTTTTTGGTACCGGATATTGAACTCAGGACCTTGCGCTTGCCAGGCAGACGCTTATGCCACTGAACTATATCCCCAGCCCTGCCTTTCCTAATAGAATTGTAGATACTAAAACTGACCAGATATTTTCGATTTTTTTAATAAATTAGAGGGCTAATATTTATTACCTTAATTTTCAGATGGTGACCCTGATAACTATATTGCATACTATCGGAGAGCTACTGTCTTTTTAGCTATGGGCAAATCAAAAGCAGCACTTCCTGATTTAACTAAAGTGATTGAATTGAAGATGGATTTCACTGCAGTAAGTTTACCTAAACTTTCAAGGGGAACTAAAGGGAACCTGGAAGAGGTAATGTATTACGTGAGGACCGACATGTTTCACGTAGCTGCAGGGTGTCAAAGCTGCTGTGATGCAGTGCACTGGGGAGCAAGGGGAATTCCAGGTCCCTAGAGCGTATGGGCACAACAGCATGGAGCTGTAGCCCAGCCGTCTGGGAGGCTGAGGGAGAGAAGACTGTGTGCGTTCAGCAGTTACAGGCCACCTGAGCAACGTAGTGAGATTGCGTGGCCAGACCAAAACTCAGCCGCACTGAACCAGAGCTAACAAAGCCCCTAGAGTTAAAAGTCTGTGACAGAGGATCAGAAGGTGTACCAGCTGATTTCTCAGAGGTTTTCTTCGTAGTTTAGAAGGGTAAGTCTGTGTGAAGGATGGATGGCAGGGCCAGGCATTAAGGAGACATAAATAAAGATTAACAAGCTGGAAGGATAAAGAGGAAGTAACTCAGTGAAACAGTGTTTTTTGGTGAGGATACACTGCTGAATTAGCGGTGTTCTCAGTGGAACCAGTGCATGAGTTTTGGAGCTGGGGAACGTGTAATCTGGTGCAGTCTCCTGAAGGCTGGCAGGCTTCTGTGAGGGCTGTGGAAGATGTACAGGGATTCTATTGAGTAGCTCTCAGAGGCAGCATAGATAGAACCATCGAACAAGTTTTTCAAAATTGGTAACTAGCCAAATATGCACATGCGTATAATTCCAGTACTTGGGAGGCTGAGGCAGGAGGATTGCTGCAAGTTCAAGGCCAGCATAGGCTACGTAATGAGACCCTGTCTCAAACAAATACACAAAAATTGGTGACCATTTATTTATATCCTGCCATAGTCCAAAAAGGATAAGGTAACTGATTAGATATGGAATGAATATTTGATTTGAAATATTACTATTACTTTAAGATGGAATTCTCAACTGTTAAATTTTTAATCTATTACTTTACACAAAGATTAAGAAACTCATTTTTCTGGTGTTGTGCTCAGCAAATCTGTTTCTGGAATTTAGATTGTTAAAGACCCAAAGCATGCAACTTTTATTTTAGTGGCAAAAGTTACTAGATGACAAAAAAAAGCATTTATAAAATCGATATACAATTCACATTCTATCAAATTCACTGTTTTACAGTACTTAGTGGTGCTTAGTATATTTATAGTGTTGTGCAGTCGCTGCTGTCTAGTTCTAGGACATTTTTTATGGCCCTCAGAGTAGCCCCTGTACCTATTAGCGTCACTCTCCATTTCTGCTTTAGTCTCTGGAACACTTTATCATGGATTTGCCTATTTTGAATATTTCATAGTGATGAAGCCATTCAGTCAGTGGCCTTGTGCATCTGACTTTTTCATTGAGCTTGTATTAAAGGTTCTTTTATGCTGTAGCATGTGTTAACACTTCATTACTTTATGGCTTAATAATATGTGTGGCTGTATAATTCTTAGTTGATAGAAACTTGAGTTTCCACTTTTGCCTGTTGCTCTGAACTTCATGTACAAGTTTTTATGTGGATATAAGTTTGTAGTTTTCTTGAGTAGAGCAAAATGTATTGTTAAGAAAGTACATATAACAGAGATTATATCCATTGATGTGTTCCAGGAATTACTCTCAGTGCCGAGTTCAAATGAGCATTGGAAAAATAAATATTAATAACTTTATCAGTTATTTAGTTTTATTCTTTGTGATTAAAGAAAATTTAGAAAACTATAGATAGCATACTTAGCACAATTCCTTCTTTTTTCTAGGCAAGATTACAGAGAGGTCACTTATTACTCAAACAAGGAAAACTTGATGAAGCGGAAGATGATTTTAAAAAAGTGGTAAGTTCAGTTTGTTCTTAGCTCAAAGATGCTATTTTGAGAGAAGATGCTGGATGTAACTTTTTCTTCACTTAGCCTGTTTTTTCCTATATTAGAGTCTAGAAATGCCAGGTGAGCTATTCTTACAGTCCTGTATGTTACTTGAGAAACTTTCATTTGACTTGAGGACTCTTGAAACATTCTTAAAGGGAATTTTTCAGTCATCCAAAATTTGGCTTAGTTAGGGGAATATATAGATTATGTCCTTTTGAAAGGGATATACACTGAAAAAGGATTCTGGGGGAAACAGTTAAGTAATTTCTTCTTGCCTTTATTTGGATTAAAACCTTCATTTTTGTTTAATGTGGATTAGTTTATGGAGTAGTATAGAATGGGCATATAATCCATTGTTTCTTGTTTGTGTTTTTGTAGTTTACTGAGCTGCTTATTATTCTAATAACTATGAAAACTAAAATGCTTACTATTGTCATAACTCTTGTCACAATACTCAGTCATCTGCAGATAATTAAAAAAACATTAGATTTAATTGTTTTGTATCAGTAGCTATTTCCTAGTCTCAATAAATTGTCTGCCATTTTATGCTGTACTGCTCTCCCCTCCTTTTGGGAAGACACTTGCTAAACGCAGTTCCTGAATGCATAGTTGGGGCAGCGGAGGGCTGCTCACCTCATGGTGGCCAGAAGCAGAGGGCGGCGAAGAGACAGACGGAGAAGAGGAGGCTGCGAGTAGGGTTCCCCCTTCAGAGCGGCCCCCTTCAGCTGGGCCGGTCTCCTAATAGCCCCTTGGCCACGAACTCGTCTGTGGAGTAATCAGTTGATGGAGGTCAGCGCCCTCACTACAGGAGTCTTTGGGGACGCTTCGTGTTTCATCCATAACATCTGCCATGGGTCCACTACTCGTCAGCAAGCCTGCACTGTTAAGCACTGTGCTCTCCTACCCCTTGCTGTAATTAGTATCTGTCTGCCTGCGTCCTTTGGAAGACCTCCCTGTGGAACAGGGCATAGGTCTCAAACACGTATTTTACACAGTGCAGAACGGTGGCCACTATTTATGTAAAGAGGAGGAAGCGTATATTTGCTTGAATATGAGTAAAACACCTTGAAAATATATGTAGGGAACTGGTAACATGGGTTACCTTTTGCAGGAAAAGTATCCCATATGACCATACTACTTACTCAGATAGTTCATATTTTACATGTTTTGTGTAAGTGACCTTGGAAAACTCCTGCCTTCTGAGGACTTCATTTTGACGTGCAGAGGTTGTGTAGGTGACATGATACTATTTGTTATTTCCATAAAATTGATGATTTCTGGGTTTAGTTTGAAAAGATCAATTTTGTCATGATTATATTTTATCTTCACTAAATAATTCTTGGTTGAAAAGTTTTTTTTTGTTTTGTGTTTTTGTTTTTTTGTGGTGCTGGGAATCAAACTCACGATGTTGCGCTTGCCAGGCAGGTGCTGTGCTGCTGAACTAAATCCCCAGCCCCTTCACTAAATAATTCTTATACTTTAATTTTTGAATATTTGTCAACTCAGTGTTATTTAGTAGTTCAGTTATTTGGTATGCCTACAGTTAAAAAAGCTGTTTTTAGCATTTAAGAATCATTTGCCTGCTGGGCGTGGTGGCGCACGCCTGTAATCCCAGCACCCTGGAGGCTGAGGCAGGAGGATCATTGCGAGTTCAAGACCAGCATGGGCTACAAAGTGAGCTCAAGGCCAGCCTGAACTGCATAGCCCTTCAAAAAGACAAAAAAAAACAAAAAAACACAAAAACCACATTTGCCTGCTTAAAGATATACTACAAAAAATTTCATACACTAATATAATACTATATATAACCATTAGTTATATTTTATTTTACAGAATGAGGATTTTTTTTTAAAGTAAAATACGCTAAATCACATTGTGGGTGGCGATGAGCATATCATTCTTTGTTATAGCACAGAATCTTCAGCTGTGGATTACCGGTGAACAAGTACTGCTTCGGGTCCACACTGGCCGTCCCACTCCTAAACAGGGTGTGCAGCTCTTTGGTTTACCTTTGAACGCAGTGGCTGTCGCTTTAATCATTTAATGATGTGTTGGTTCAGTGAGCAGTGGAGTACATGTCCTTTGCTAGGTAGACTTGTAGGTAGCATAGCATTGCTCGTGGAGGAAGCTAGTCTCTGGCCTGCTGCGAGATGTCCTAAGGTGAGAACTAGACTGCTGTTATAGAAGTGCTGTGATGAGGTCCTTGGGAACATACAGAAGGGTCACCTAGATTTAGCTTGGGTTTGAGGATCTGGAGTCAAGAAGGGCTTTCCTAAAGCAAGTTAGCTGCTTTAAATTTTAATCTTTATAAATGGATGAACTAGTGTTAGTAAGGTGGGCAGGTATACCGTTTAGGGTAGTGAAGAGGAGTTTGTGTAAAAGCAGCAGGCAAGAACGCCAGTCACTTCAGAAATAATCCCTCTGGTAAGACTGAAGTAATACCTGTGCCTCTGTTCGTGAATGCTTCTGTTCACAAACAGTTCAATTCTCAGACGGAAGTATTGGAACACGAATGTAGCCCTCTTCCCCAGAACTGTGGAATGAGTTAAGTTTGTGGCTCAAGGTACCATTGTGGTACCTCATGGCTACTGTGAATGGTAAAATCTCCACTCCGTGTCACTTCTGTGTTCCGCACCTCTTGTTGTGTAACAGGTTACCCAGCAGTAGCAGATTAGAGCAGGGCATTGCTGTTGTCTCTGTTCATAGTGTTGGGGATCTGGGCACGGCACACCTGAGTCTTCCGTACCAGGGTCTCCTCTGCAGTGTGGGAACGGTTCTATATGTGTGTCTTGTGGATATAGAATTCAAGGGATTGAAAACTTTGCTTAGCTGGGGATATAGCTCAGTGGCATAAGCACCTGCCTGGCAAGCGCAAAGTCCTGAGTTCGATCCCCGGTACCAAAAAAACCCCCCAAACAAACAAACTTTGCTTACTTTAATTTGTTATTGTTCTTACAGCTCAAATCCAGTCCAAGTGAAAATGAAGAAAAGGAAGCCCAGTCTCAGCTTAGAAGGTCTGATGAAATGCAGCGTTTGCGTTCACAAGCGCTTGATGCTTTTGAAAGTGCAGATTACACTGCTGCTATACCCTTCCTTGATAAGGTTTTAGAGGTAAGTTTCTTAGATTCTGCAGCTGACAAGCCCGACACGCTTTGTACTGTAAGGCATGTTTATGTACTTTGATGTGCTCTATGACCGCCAAACACCTAGACTAGGCAAAGTCGGGTTGGTAGTTGAGTTTTCAGCTCTTTAGTGACTGTTTCTGTGAGAAAATCTGCAACCAAAACTTTCAGTGGATGTGATGTGAGAGAGAAAGTTACATATTTTTATGCCTTGTTTATTTTGCTGTTTGGTTTGATGTTGTATTCTTTGGGGAAGAGAACTCTAAAGGCAAGATGATAAGGTAAAGATGAAAGCTGGTTGAAGCAAAAGGAAAAATAACTTTGGAAAGAGGAATATTTACAGTGAAGGGTTTCTAGGAAAGGACACAGGTAGGATTGATAAGCTCTGGAGGGCTTTAGATAGGCAGTATAAGTTCAGATTGGGTCTCTTTGCCTCAGGAGGATTTAATGACAAATGATTTCAGAGTGATATCTAAAATACTCTAACAGAAACAATCAAAATTCATATTTAATTACCATTTTCACATTTTTCACATTTCATGATTTTTTTGTTGGTTTTTTTTTTTTGTTTTGGTGGTACCGGGTATCGAACTTACGACCTTGAGCTTGCCAGGCAGGCGCTTATGCCACTGAGCTATATCCCTAGCCCTCACAGCACTGTGATGTCCAGTTTCATTTAGTCTTGGAAGTAAACTTGTATATAGAGTGGGCGCTTTCTTTGATAATTTTATGGAGGAAATCATGTGACATGGCCATTTCCTGGTTGCTCTGGCTGGTGTTTTGAGTACTGTATTAAGTAGGAGGGCACTGAGTTTTCCACATACTGCACTCCCACTGTATGTGAGAAGTAGGCATCTTATTATTGTTATTATTAAATTGTATTGGGGAACCTTCTTTCTCCTGCTGTTCTGTTGCCTGCTGGCTGTGGGGCAGGGAGTGATGGTGTATGGCAGCGAAATTTTACGCTGTTCTGTTTTCAGCTTCTTTGAGTCCCTGGGTTGAAGTTGTCTAACTTCTCTGTGCTCCGTGGGGAGGTTTGTTTAACCTGTGGGTGGTCTCTGAGGGGCTGACTTGCTCCCTCCCGCAGTCAGCCCAGCCTTGCTCCCTCCCGCAGTCAGCCCAGCCTTTTCCCAGGATGGCTTGGGCAGTGGGTCTGGCGTAGGTGGCAGGGTAGTGTGATCCTGGTGTGGACCAGTTTTCCCTCTTGTATCCTTTAAGCTCTGGACTTTAGTCCAGCTGGGTTGTCTTTTTGTTTATTATCCCATGTCAGACTTCATCTTTCAGCTGGCCTCAGGGTCACCACTTTTCTTGAGTACCAGATTGGAGGTAGTCACTGCCATTGGTGCCCCTATGTGTCTGTAATGAATCCACTCCCTCTGTTTTGATAAAAGGATTTAATTTCAAAGAGGTGTATAAAAGAGAATTTCATTTAGATATCAGTAGAATAAAATAATTGGGTAGTTTAAAACCTAGATTTTTTTTGACTAGAAATTATAATTGTTAAGTACAAATCTGATTGTAAAATACTCCCTTCAAATATACTTTACTAGGAATAGTCCTCTAATAGTAAATGCTGTGTTTTCTTACATGCAGAATTTTAGAATTGTGTATATAATTGACAAAGGAAAGAGGCCATATATTTATATATATGTATCTGTGTGTATATATGTGTATATACACACATACACACACACACACATATATGTGTATATATACCTTTTCCAGTTAGAATTTAAGATGTCCTTGGAGAAACTGTCACATTTAAGTTGTATCACACTTTTAAGCACTTTTTATAGGACGGAAGCCATCACTTTGATTGAGGGTGTTTTATGTTGATAAATATGTTGATGAAAATATGTAGGGTGCAGAATGTGCATAATTATTGTTTCTTAAAGTTTAGTTCTTTTGTTTCTTAAGGTTTGTGTTTGGGATGCAGAACTACGGGAACTTCGAGCTGAATGTTTCATAAAAGAAGGGGAACCTCGGAAAGCTATAAGTGACTTAAAAGCTGCATCAAAATTGAAGAATGACAATACTGAGGCATTTTATAAAATCAGCACACTGTACTACCAGCTAGGAGACCATGAGCTGTCCCTCAGGTCAGTTCTGCTGACATTCATGTGTGATCACTTCTTTTACCATTGGCAGTAAGAATACCCTCATTTAAAGAAATTAGTATTGGGGCTGGGGATTTAGCTCAGCGGCAAAAGCGCCTGCCTGGCAAGCGCAAGGTCGTGAGTTAGGTTCCCGGTACCGGAGAAAAACAAAAAAAACCAAACAAACAAAAAAAAGAAATTAGTATTAAACTAATAAAATTATGTGATGAAGTCTCTTTGTATTCTGTATCCATTATATATTTTGTCATCCCTAAGGTACTTTGGTTTCACGTAATTTATTTCATGAACCATGCTTGTAAAAGTAAATGGGGGCTGGGAATGTAGTTCAGCGGTGCTAGCGGCATAAGTGCCTGCCTGGCAAGCGCAGCAGGGTCCTGAGTTTGATTCCCAGTACCAAAAAAAAAAAAAAAAGAAAAGAGTGTGAAGTAAATGGGAGGGTTCTTTTATTTGTAGCAGTGCAATGGAATATATAATGTTAATGTACGTCTGTGCATGAGTCATTCAGTTTGAATCAGTATGTCTGTGGTACAGTGTCATATATAACTGTATAGTGAATTATTAAGGCAGTATGTTTTAATTGTTACAATTGAAAACAACGATTTTTATATCTAATGTGCAAAACCATTCTTTTAACTTGGAATGTTTTCCTTTTTTAAATTACATGAGCAGTGAAGTTCGTGAATGTCTTAAACTTGATCAGGATCATAAAAGGTGTTTTGCACACTATAAACAAGTGAAGAAACTTAATAAGATGATTGAGTCAGCCGAAGAGCTCATCAGAGACGGCAGGTAAGAGCTGCTGCCTTCCACCATCCGGACTTTCCTTTCCTGTGCACGCGGTGGACTACTGAACTGTGCTCATTGGTTTCCTGCTTACTGAGGGTAAAATGGTACTGGGCCTTAGCAAAACTATCAGGAATGCACATTTTGGAACAAGACAGACTTTAAATAGAGTGGTGTGTTGGTTCACAAACTCTGTCCTTTTGATGATTCTGGTCGCAGAATCGGATGAGAACTGAAGCAAATTCAGTGATTGTTAGGTTCATTGTTGATCTTATGGGGAAGTCTGATGCAGTTCTTGTCCAGTTCAGTTTGTGACCAGAATTGTGGAGAGAATTGAGCTCATGAACTGAGGTACCACTGTAATGCAAACTATATATTGTCCTTACCTGCGTATTTATTTCTGTTATGCTGAATTTTTATTGTTTCTTATATCAGGTACTGAGCTATGTACCAAGAATGTAGAAATGAGCTTGACTAAATAGTTTTTGGTCTTAAAATGTTCATAGCACATGGTGGGAGACAGAAACATAAACTTCTTAAAAAATGATACCAAGTGCTAGTGTGTACACAGTATAATAGGAGTACCAAAGGAAGACGTTTAATCCAGTCCAGAGTGGTGAAGCCCAGGAGTATGAGAAGATTCCTGGAGGTGACAGATATTTAAATGCTTATCTTGAAGAGTAAGTAAGTGTTGCCAAAAGTAAAGTGTGAGGAGTATTTGTAGGAGTATTTGCAGGTTGGAGCAGGAGAGTTACCTTTACTCTCTCCTGTTTATAATTGTCTTAAATATTTTTTGTACCACATTAGTCACTGTTATAAATTTTGCTTCAACACTGAACATAATTTACAAACTCAAGAGGAGAAATAAAGCTTAGACTAGTCTGCTTTGTGTTGCCGCAACAAAATACATGAGCCTTGGTACTTTTTATAAAGAGAAGGTTTGTCTCATACTGGTGGCTGGAAAGTCCAAACAGCATGGTACCTGCATCCTGGTAGGGGCTCCCTGGCTGTATGTGACAGTATGACAGAGAAGCAGAAGAGGCCAAGCATGTGAGGTGGCCTTGCTTTATAATAAGTTTCTCTTGACAAGGAACATGGTTCTGGGAGAACTACATTAATCCCTTCTGAGGGCAGCGTCCTCATGACCTACTTAGCTTTCAGTAGGCCTCACCTCTGCCACACTAGCGGCCAAGCTCCAGGTATGTAAATTTTTGGGGATAAGCCATAACAAATACATGCTCAGATTTTGATTCATATTTTGCTTACCGTGCTCCTTGTTCCTTAATGTTCCAAGATGCTTTTATCCCTGCTCCCTCGCCCTTTGGTGCTAGAGATTGAACCCAGGACCTTGTACATGCTGGGCACATGATCTGCTACTGAGCTACGTCCTCAGCTCCATATCCTTTATGTTTGGAGAACTCGCTTTAGGGAAGGCTTTGGTAACAGACTTTCTAGTTTTTCTCTATCTGAGAATGTCTTGACTTCCCTTTAATTACTGGAGGAAATTTTCTCTGGGTTTTGATTCTGGATTAACAGATCTTTTCTTATTTTGCACCTGCAAAATTTTGGGCCACTTCTTTCTGGCCTCTATAGCTCCTAATGAGAAATCTTTTGTCATTCTGATAGGAAATGGCACTTAAAAGGGAAAAACAGACTGTTTTCCAGACCTTTTTTCTTTGTGTTGAGAAGTTTAAATTGCGATATGTCTTGGCAAGGATTTGTGTTGATTCTGTGTGCAAGTTACTTGGCTTCTTGAATATAGTCAGACACTACATAATGCCGTTTGTCAAGACATACCACATACACCGTAAGATAAAGGAGGTGAAAAATTGCTTTCGCCTAGTGATGTCATAACCATTGTAACTCAGTGCGTTACTCCAGCGTGTGTGCTGATGCTAACAGAAACAAACCTGGCTGTCATATAAAAGTGTTATTCACCACATTGGACCGTGAAAAGAAAGGACTATATTAGTAGTTTATGTACTTTATCATACCATATTTTTTATTATTAGAATGTAAAAATTTTTTTATTGTAAGTCAGGATGCTGGGTTATGTTGGCAGCTGCCTTAAACATCTCGTGTTGGAGGCCGAGTCAAACAATTGACTTGTACCGTTTGGGTTAGTGTAAGTGTACTGCTTTTGCAGAATGAAGAAATCATCTAATTGGCGTGTGTAATTTTCAGAAAGTATTTCTGTCATTAAATGATGCATGACTGTATTTAGGTTTGTGTCCCTTAAAATATAGGAAGTTTTCATCCGTTCTTTTGAAGGGACTTTTCCAGCTGTTCTCTTCTCTCTTTGGACTAATGTGACATTAATATTAGATCATTTGTTACAGCCTTACATTTTGCTGAGGCATTGTGCAGTTTTTAAAGTCTGTCTTGTTGTTCAGATTTGATGGTTTCTGTTGTATTCAGTAATAGTTTTGTCTGTCCCCTTGGTTTTACTATTGAGTACATTCATTTAGGCCTTACATTTCATTAAGCACTACGAATTTGATTTGGTTACTCCTTGTATCTTTTAATTCTTCATTGAGACTGTGCAGAGGCATTCGAAGTTTTTCATGTTTCAAGCCTGTTTGTAATTGCTACATTTTTCATGAGTACTTTAACATCTTGGACACATAATTCTAACATCTCTGTCCTCTTGGTTGGGATTCAGTGATTATTTTTCTCATTAAATCTGCAACTTTTCTAGTTCTTGGTACAATGAGTGGTTTTTAATTGAAATTTTCATTCTATGTTTAAGGCTTTGGTTTTTATTTAAGCCTAATGCTTTGGCTAGTTTTTTTTGATACTGTTCCAGCAAAGTGAGGATGGGATGAGCACCTGGTTACTGCTCCACGGAAGGGTCCTACTTGGCTTTTGTCAATACTTGAGGGAAAGAGGTCTTCTAGAGTATCACAGGTAGCTTGGTTAGGTCAGAATTGTAGCTTCTCACATGGTCTCCACTGATAACTCTGGGGCAGGAGAGCGGGACTTACTATCAACCATGGAGGAAAGCCTGGGCCCCTCTCGGCCTTCTCTGACACCATCGCGGCAGGTGTGGAGGGGAGTCTTGTTCAGCCTCGTCAGGGAGGAAGTCAGGGCTCTTGGCCTTCACTGGCATTGGGGGGTCATGGTGCTGGAGGGGCGTGGTTTCTTCTGAAGTGTTTGCCTGGATTGAAGCTGTATTGTCAGACAGTTTTCTACCTTGCTGGGCAGCCCTTTCCAGGTCCTCTGGTTACGGAAAGCAGACTTGGTTTTTGCTCTGCATTTCCGGATTGCTGGCCTCTTTAGCACTAAGTCTGGGGTGTTAGAAACGTACGACCAGGGAGCGTACTACCATGCTTTCCTCAGTCTGGAGATTGCCGGCTAATCTGCCGCTGTCTCCACCTCGCTCGTGTCTGTAGTCTTACAAAACATGTACTGTATATTAACCCTATATATTACGTGTTTTTAGTTGTCCTTAGCTGGAGGAGTTGAGAAAAGTATGCCTACTTTACTTTCCCAGAATCTGGCTTTTCTTCTAAAGGTTCTACTTAAACCTGTGCTAATATATCAGCATTTAACTGTGAAGATTATTGCATTTTTGGAATTATGTACCAGAAGGGCATATAAATATATCTTTTAGCTGGCTATTCTTAAAGATAATAACTTGGTGTATAACAAACTAGTCTAGCTTTTACTAACTACTACTTTTCACCAGTTTAAAGAAAATGAGGTAGTACAGCGGTACCGTGGTACTTACTGTTACTGGTCTGAGGCGTGCAGTGAGCCCCAGAAGCACAGTGTGTCGGCGGGGAGAGAAGTGAGTGCTGAGGCAGTGGGCAGCGGGTATCACACAGGCGATAAGCGCAGGGTGCTGGGACAGAATTTTCCCATGAAAACGCATCCCGTGTAAGACTGAACAATTTTCACGTCAGTTGAGTACAAAGGTATGACTGTAGCTTCACTGCTCTTAGAAGACTGGTAAACTTGGAATTTAAGGAGATTCCTTCTACATCGTACTTAGTTGTGAATATATGATATTATTAATGGCACATAGTGGGCTCTTTATTTCCATAAAAGTGTATGTAGCCAAGAAATAAAACCTGAGCTCCATTTTGTACTCAGTGTAAGTCAGACTGTGTGCTTTAACGTTTGAAAATCATGAGCTGTGTTCTGTAAGGAACGTCAGCGTGGGGTTTGATTGGTACTCACGGGCAACGTCTGCTGTTGTAACTCCGCCCTCGGGATCGCACCTTCTGTGTGACTCCGGAGGTCAGAGCAGGGTTGGAAGGCAGGGAGGTGCTCACTCAGTTGAATTGGTTAAGCAACCTGCACATAGTGAAGACAGAAGGTCGAGGGTCCTTTCTATAGTTGAAGTAGTAGAACTTCAGCATTACTGATGATCATTTGCACATTTAACAGATACACAGATGCCACGAGCAAATATGAATCTGTCATGAAAACAGAACCCAACATTGCTGAGTATACAGTTCGTTCAAAAGAAAGGATCTGTCACTGCTTTTCTAAGGTAACAGTTGACTTGTTCCCAGAAATACACATATTTACCACGTGGGCTAACAACCCTAAATTCTTTTCTGACATTTATTTTTAGGATGAGAAGCCTGTTGAAGCTATTAGAGTGTGTTCTGAAGTTTTACAGATGGAACCTGACAATGTGAATGCTCTGAAAGATCGAGCAGAGGCATATTTAATAGAAGAAATGTATGATGAAGGTAAATCTTCCAGAGATTTGATTTGCGGTACCTAACGGTTAATTATATGAGGGTAGCGTACATTCAATGACCTTTTAGAACAAATTTACCAGCACACCTAGACATGTTGACAGTTACTCTTTTTTAGGGACACTGTCTGAAGAGTTCTGTTGAAACCATTTCAGTGGACTACAAAAACAAAAATTATAGCATTATTTGCTGTAGTCAAGTTAGGAAAGACAAGAAAATAGAAAATTTCAATTAAAGATCTGATATCCACAGGTCATTGTTCACTTTAAGTTTATCTTTGTGGACTTGTCTACATATTACTCTTTAGTTCATGTATGTACTCTTCATTTGGGATCTGTAATACATATATGCACAGAGCTTACATATGTATGTCATATGTCTAATATAAAATGATCCTGTATGACCTCCAGCTGTTTAGTAATAACATTAGGATATTCCCAGCATTGGACCTGGAATCAATTAAAAACTGTGGATTCACTCACCTTTGAAAAAAGCCTAAGACTGCATGAGGCTTTGTGGGGACATCTAGACACAAACCATAACAGTTGACATATATATACAAAAATACACATTAAAAATAGGGGCTGGGGATTTAGCTCAGTGGCAAAGCGCCTGCCTGGCAAGCACAAGGTCGTGAGTTCGGTTCCCAGTACCGGAGAAAAGCCAAAAAAAAAAAAAAAAAAAAAAGAATAGAATTCTTTTATATGTGTTATAACTTTGACAGTATATTATGAACATTTAAATGAGATTTTTAAAAAAGAAATAAGCATTATAGACCCTTATTGTAAAATTCCTTTTTTTTTTCCAAATTGACGAAAGCATTTTAAGTCAAAAACAGTATTTTGTTATAGTTAAATGAAGGATCTGAGTGGTGAAACTTGGTTTTTGATGCTTTTTTTTTTTTTTTTTGGTACTGGGAATTGAACTCAGGACCTTGTGCTTGCTGGGCAGGTGCTTTAGCCACTGAGCTGTAACCCTGGCCCGTGTGATGCTTTTTTAGAAGGCGTACTGGTCAGTCTCTTCCTGCTTTCTCCAGTTTGTCACAACTCTTGCTCTTAGGCATGTTCCAAGGAATTGTGACAATGACAACTCACTACTTGTTACCATTATTTATGGGACGTTTTCTGGGACCTGCAGACCTTGATGTCTATAGTTTGAGACATATGATATCAAAATGTTAGGTTTTAATATCTGTTACAGGTCAAATCTTATAGGCTCCAGAGTATAATTTGGAAGGCACTTGTGTAACGAGTATTAAAACTGGTAGGGTTTTTAGGGAACTTGTCAGCTTAATTCTTCAAGATGCTTAATACTAATGTAATATAATCGGGGGCTGGGGATTTAGCTCAGCGGCAAAGCGCCTGCCTGGCAAGCGCAAGGTCGTGAGTTCGGTTCCTGGTACCGAAGAAAAACCAAAAACCAAAATAAATAAATAAATAAATAAAATAATGTAATATAATCGGTCTGTTTTTGAATTCTATTTTTTCCTTAAAATTTAAGTAAGAGTTTATATTCTTTGTTGTGTGGTTTTACAAGAGTAAATTGTTTGACAAGTGTAAAATTGAGCCACTTCACTCAGAGGAGACAGAGAAGGGAAAGTTTAGTAAATGCTGAAAATGAGCAGTGTTACTTAGGATAGTAGTATGTCTCTAGTTAAAACCCTGAGTTATTTGTTTGTCTGAAAGACAGTCGGCAAAAATTTTACCCCATTCTGTAGGTTGTCTCTTCACTCTGTTGATGAGTTGAAGAGTGAAGTTGAATTATTTAGGATAATGATGAGTTTCCTCTTGTGCTGTGCAAAAGCTTTTTAATAGGATGAGATCCCAGTTGTTGATTCTTTGTAATATGTTTGCAAGAGTTCTGTTGTCCCAGCAGTTTTAGTGTTTCTGTTTTAATATTTAGATCTTTGATCCATTTTGATTTTAGTTTGGTGCATGGTGAAAGTACAGATCTAGTTTTAATCTTGGGCGTGTGGAAAGCCAGCTTTTCCATCACCATTTATTAAAGAGGCTATCTTTCTTCTGCTAAACATGTTTGGCCCCTTAGTCAAGATAAGGTGGCTGAATGTGTATGAAGTTGTTTCTGCATCTTTTCATCTGTTCCATTGATCCTTGGGTCTGCATTTTTGGCTAGTACCGTACTGTTTTTATCACTGTAGCTTTGTAATATAATTTCAAGTCAGGAATTGTGATGTCTCTTGCCTTGCCTTTGTTGCCCCCAATTGCTTTTGCTATCCTAGGTCTCTTCTGGTTCCAAATGAATTTTCAGAATGTTTCCTCTAGATCTGGGAGGCATGCCAATGGTATTTTGATTGGGATTACATTAAACCTGTATAGCAGTTTTGGGAGTAGGGCCATTTCCACTATCTTTTCTTCCTCCCCAAGAGCAAAAGACATCTTTCTATCTTCTGATCGATCGTGTGCCACCATGCCCGGCAATTTTATTGACATTTCTGGAGTTACATCAACTTTGAATTATTTAGAATAAGCCTTTTCTTTTGGCAATACTGGGTCTTGACTACCTGTATTGCAAGCTAGGCAAGTGCTACAATGCCCAGCTGAATCTCCACCCATCTTTCAGGATTTATTTTGAGACAAGATCTCTTGAGTTGCTCAGGCTAGGCTCAAACTTAAGATCCTCCTGTTTTAGCATCCCTAGTAGTTGGTATTTACAGGGTATGCGAGTATGCCAAATTTGGATAAAACTTTAGAAATCTAGAGTTTAATGCTGGATTTGATTTGCCAGTATTTTAAAAAGTGTGCATCTTTGTTCAGTGGGGGATATTGCTTTATCACTTCTTACAATAAACGTTTTGACCTTAAGCATATGTCAAGTGCATTTGGTAGTATTTATCAAATATCTGAGGAATATTTGTCTAGCACCCCCCTGTACCTTGCACAGACAGCAAAAAAGAGCCAAGTAGGGACTGCTGAGAAATAATATTTGCTTAAAAATAATCTGACACCAATACTTTGATAAACCTAGTTAGATGTAAAATTTACCTGTAATGAGACTGCGCCTGAAAAATGACTGGGTTTCCTTTGTGAGTACAGTGGGACCTCTGTTTATGAACTTCATTTGTTTTATGACTTTGGGGGAGATGGCTGTGATTGTGTTTGTCACTGATACGGGGTTTGCCAGTGGAAGCAAAGTTTTCCTGCATGCTTTTGTCTGTGATCGGAATTGTTTGCAAACGGAAGCATTTGTGAGCCGAGGTAGTGTCACTGTGTCATGAAGCACCGACCTGAGCCTGGAGCTGGGGAAAGGTGGAAAGGGGAGGGTTAAGCTGCCTCGGGAGCCCCTGAGAATGAAGACCAGCCGTGCTCCTTGTGGCCAGCAGGCCTCCCCTCTGTTGCACGTGTTCACATCCTCCTCAGACAAAGGCTGGCAGGTCAGATACTGACAAGATCTCCTGAGGATTATAACGAATTTGCAGGCCGACCTCTGGAAAAGTTTTATCTTTATTTAAGTATTATAGCTCTCCTTAAATTGTAGGATATACAGAACATTTCTGTTCTTTGGTGTGACTTGTGGGTGAATTAAGTAACTGTTTATAAGGTGTCATCCGCTAGTGAGACACCTGGCCCAGTGATGGGGCAGGCCATGCATGGCAGGTTGATGTCCTGATTGATTAGAAATTAGCTTTTAAAGCATGATCCCCTGATCAAACAGGAGAAGCTCTGTGTTGCCGGAGTTTTTTCTGTGGTGAATGATAATTGATGTCCTTTATTTCATATGTAGGCACTAAAAGGAATCCAGGAAATCCAGCCAACTTGTGTGCTAATATGCTCTAATTTTGCTTATTGCATATGGTTAATTTTAATTTAGTACAGCACTTAGGTATTAGTAGTTTAAGTATTATTTGCTGTTTTATTATCTTCTCCTAGGTTAGGAGCTTTTATTCACTGTGGCTAGTAGCTGTTGAAGATGCCTTTCTTACGTTATGTTTTTATTATGGGAATGATGACAGCTATAAGTATAGCTAGAAAGGGAGAGAGACCATGTCATTCCTACTTGCTACAAAATATGACTGAGTTGATCTTACAGAGAGTCAGAAGCAGCCACTCAAGGCCAAAATCCCAGCACTTGGGAGGCTGAGACAGGAGGATTTCTGTGAGTTCAGGGTCATCCTGGGCTACATAGTGAGTTCAAAACCAGCCTGAACTACATAGTGAGACATTGTCTTTAAAAAAAAAAAAGCAGCTTCTGAATAGTTCGACAAATTCCAGAAGTAGTTCATTAAGTTGTAAATTGAGCATTCTGAGTATCCTGAATAAATTTCACTGTCCTGCTCAGGACTTGACTCATGTCCAGTGTGTCCACAGTAAGTACCCTCTCTGCCCACCTGTTAATGTCATTTAGCAGCTGGCTCAGTTGTTCTGTCAACTATTTTAGGAAAGTAGTGCTTGTGTTATCTTACTTAATGGTTGCAGTTACAGCTTTATAATATACATAAATTATAATACATCTTAATCTTTTTCTTGCTCTGTCACCTTTAGACAATGTGTTTTTATATTAGTTAAAGGAAGGCTGTTCAGATATTTCCGTCTGTCTTCATTCCACTCATGTGTTAGTAGACCTTTTACTACATCTGTAAGGTTTATATATACAGTATTTGAATTCTGGCCCCTAACTGAGGGCAGTTTGGAAATGAAAACCTTTTATAAGACTAATATATTATAGCCATCTAACTGCAGGACCAAGTTGTGTGTTGGAATTCATACAGGAGATAAGATCACATCATCAACTAGTCAGTCAAGTTGCAGTCAGTTTGCAGATGGCCACATTTTACTAATATGCTTGGATTCCCCTTGTCGGTGGAATCCCCTTGTCATTTAAAAAAGGTTGAAGAGTCTCCTTGGAAAGCTTGCTGCTTTATTGGGAGGTAGCTCTGTGAAAATCCTTAGATTTTCTTTTTTGGGTTTAGTCTGAGTTACTCTCTTGAATTTTCAAATGTGTTTGTAAAGAACTTAGCAAACGCTTTAATTTGTGTTTTCTAACTTTGAATCATGATTAATTCATTTTTCTCCCATTTTATTGACCCTCTCAAGGCTCTGAATTGTTATCTCAGCACCATTTGAGCTAAGTCCAGTAGGTTCTGAAAGACTGACTTCATTATTTTCTGAATTTTTAAATTTATACTTTTATATTTCTCCTGTTTTAAGATTTCTTTTTTTGTTTGTTGGTATTGTTTTGTTTTTGAGACAGGGTCTTGCAATGTCATCTGGGCTGGACTTCAACTCCCTATGTAGCAATCCTTCTGCCTCAGCCTCCTGAGTGCTGAGATTACAGGTGTGTGCCATCACATTTTGCTGTCTTTTTTTTTTTTTTTCTGTGTGGAAGATCCTTTTGCTTCTGGTTCATTATTTTCATTATTATAACTTTATGATCAGAGAATACTATAGTTTTCCTTTTTGAATTTATTGCAGTGTTAGTTTTGATTTAATATGCGAAATATAATGAGTAGATACACTGTCTTTTTCTGGGCCGAAGTCTAGCGTATCCATCAGCTCTGTCTTCTGCTGTAATCTTCTTTTCTAGTATTGTTTTGCTTCACTAGAACTATCGTGAACAAAGAGGTAATAGTCTCCTTAGACAGTGTGCCTAAGTCTCTTAGTACTTTTGAATTTCTACTTCACCAATGTTAATTTGATGTACAAGTAATTGATAGGTGTCTTCAATGTGATTTTTAGCCTTCAATATTATTCTTTACTTGCCTTACTTTTTTTTCAATTTTTATTTTTTATCAGTACATCTTTGCACTATGTAATGATTACATTCCTTGTATGGAGTTGGTATGTGTACGTAACACATCTGGATTCTTTTTTATCCCCTTCCTCCTCTCCCATCTCTTGGTCCCCTTCCCTTCTGCAAAAGCTCCCTCTCCCTATTTCCTGTTATCCATGTTTTACTTCACTCTTTATTTATATTTTGGGTTTCTCAAAAAGAGAAATCATGCAATATATATGCTTATGTGATTTATTTTACTTTATGTTAGGGATTCACGGTGCATCCGTGTTCTTACAGATGGCTTGTTTATCCTTCTTTATGGCAGAATAGTACTCAGTCAGTTAAGTGTAACTATCATATTTTCTTCATTCCTTCATCCGTTGGAGGACATATATATGAACTGTACTTCTGTGAACTGCTATGAACATGAAAACGGGAGCATCACTGTGATACGAGGTCTTTAACTCAGTTATCTGCTCTTGAGATCATAAATCAGACTTCACTTGCATTTACTTTGCAAAACTTTGATCACACTTTTTTTTTCCACTTTTGAACTGCTTTGTTTCAGGTGTGTCTCTTGCAAAGAGTTGCGTTTACCTTGTGATCGAGTATGCCATTCTTTTAAGTGGGTGAGTTAGGCACATTTATTGGTAAGACAGCTGTTTGGTCTGTGTTCTGCTGTTCTCATTTGCTGAGATCTTTTTGTTTTTTGCTATTAGGCCAGTATAATCCTGTGTACTATTCTGATACTTAGGAGCATTTGTGTTTTTCTTGGTTATTCGTGTTGCTTTATTTACTTTACCTTTCTTTGGACGTTTATTAGTCTCCAATTCTGAGGAGCACTTTAGCATGTTCTTCCTTACTGTTCTTTCTCTACTACTTCCAAAAATTCCTCCACAAAGGATTTGCCTCTGTAATATTATTGAACTTACTGTTTTTCTCTTCTCCCAGCTTCTTGCAGCTTTTGTTCATAGTCTCCCCTCTGTATTGTCCTGGCACCCTTGATTCCTTGGTTTGTGTAAATCCTGGTTCCACGTGAAATAGATTTAGTATGGCTGGTCCCTCCTTTGGCCTTGGTTTCTCCAGCTATCCTTTGGCAAATCCATCTTGGTTTCCTTGAGGTGGTCTTAGGAAATTTTACTTCACTTCTTCTACACTGAACACTGTTGATACCTTTGTTTGAAGGATGGTTCAAACAAAGGTATCAACAGTTTCTGCATAAGAAAGTTCACTGCTCACACTTTTTCTGTACATCTTGTGGTTATTCTGTTCTTTTCTGGAACTGAATACTGCTTTGGAAAACCCAGGTTTTTGTTAATTTTGGCCAGGCTGCCCAAGGAGCCTTTGAAGAAGTCTATGAGTTTTGCCAAGATTTGTCTTAGTGGTGACTGTTCTCAGTCAGTTGGCTGGGGCACCTAGTGTGCCCTTTTTAGTGTAAAGATGCATGTTTCATTTCAGGAAAGTTTTTCTTAGATTTCATCTGAAATTCCTTCATGGGTGGGTTTCTGCAAACAGGTTATACATGGGTTGTCATTTTTAGCTGTATTATTTCTTATTTTAACTTTCTGTTTCACTTGTAAGGTCCTTAGTTTTTTCCCGTTTATTTTCTTCTCCCTGTGACATCACAAGATAAGCTTAATTCCACAACACAAGAGGCATTTGCTATACCAGGGAAGCTCATTAGAGATTCAAAAATGATCGCTTCTTGGCTAAGATCAAGTGTAGAGATTCAAAAATGAGGGCTTTCGTTAGAGCCTCGACAGTAGGCACCTTCTGCCTAGTCCCTATCAAAATTGTAGACTCCTAAAGGATATTTGGTATAAAGCAGATTGTTCATACAAATAGTTCTGGCATCATGAGCCATTCTTGAGAAGAAATGTTGGGAACATTCATGGAATGGGCTTTCTGAGGCTCAGCCTCAGGGCTGCTGTGGATGCCCTCCTACGCAGTAGTAGATGTCTAGATGCTTTACACTACACTGTCAAAAGATTTAAAATGCTTCTAAAGATGTATTGTGGTGGACTGTCATCAAGTTTTTTGTATCAGGACTGTGTTTTCCTGTTCTGGCTGACACTTAAAAAAATCACGTTTGTTATAGTCTGTCAAAATCTGTGGGTAACACAGTCCTTGTGTTAGCTTTCCTATTGCTGGGACAAAATACCCAGCACCCACAAACAGAGACAGAACACACACACACACACACACACACACGCAGAGAGAGATAGAAACAGATGACACAGATGACAGAGAAGGTGACACGAGGGAGAGAGAGGAGAGAGACACAGACACGAGGAAGGGGGGCACTTGGGGAGGTATGCCTTCTAAAGTTACACTCCCAGTGACCGCGCTCTTGTATCCCCGCGATCCACTCACCTGAAAGTTCCACCTCTGAACAGATGAGATGTGGGTGACCGCTCAGATGTAAGCCAGTAACGGCATCCTGACCCCCAACAGTCCTTCCTGCTCCCTTCCTAACCTCTGCTTCTTTCGTAGCGCCTGCTCATTGCTGACGGTGCAGATTTTCCTTGCCAGCGTCCTCCTCTCCTGTGTAACAGTCTCTCAGTCTTAGCGGTAGTAAAACTGCTCTGTATGAAGCATTGATATTAAACTAACTTGAACGCAATATGCGGAGATAATGTGGGGGAGGCCGAGCAACTCAAGCGAAAGCAGCGAATTTCGTTGAATGGGAGCAATAGGCCACCTAATAACTAACTTCAGCCTTATTGTAAGTTTCTGAACAAAATTATAAAGGTGATGTCATTTAGGTTCTTAGCAGGAATGAAGAAATGGGGAAGCGGTTGAGGATGGGGACTGCACAATAGTTAGCAATTTTGCGGGATAAGTAAAAACAATGAATTATAAATCTCCCTAACAACATTATTTTAAACATATTTTGACAGCTATTCAGGATTATGAAGCTGCTCAGGAACACAACGAAAATGATCAGCAGATTCGGGAGGGTCTAGAGAAAGCACAGAGACTACTGAAGCAGTCACAGAAACGAGATTATTATAAAATCTTAGGCGTAAAAAGGTGAATTATTAATTTAAAGTTTGCATTGCTGTATTTAATCAACAATTTTAAAGCTAATCATTTTTTTTCCTTTCCTGATTCATTTATGTTTGTAATTGTACTCATGTTATTTTAACTATCTTAAAACATCATAAAGCTATTCTGAAAATGTTACAGACAAATTTCTCTCCTAGAGACCACTGATTCTGCAATAGTGTGGCATGAATAGGTCTTATGCATTTGTAGGAATGGTTGAGAAGCAGCAGTGAGCTTTCTTGTGGTAGGGATGGTGGGCAGGGAAGAGGAATATGAAAAGAAAATCTTCCCATAGGCCTGAAAGTAAAAGTTGTGCTTTTATTGTAAGATCCATCTGCCCTGACCAAGTAAGCTGTCAACTTTCAATCCAAAACTCTGAAACTTCTTATTAAAGTAAACTAACCCCAAAGCAAAGAGTTCAAAAAGCGTTCAGAAAGCCTTTCTTAATGTCAAGAAAGTAAAACATAGTAGCTTGCAAATTCAGAAAGGCACAGTTGTAAAGGTCGGTACTTTATCCAAGGGAAGATTCTTAGTGCACTACTATCTATGCAGGCCTGACTGGCTTTAATGATTTTCCAGAAATGGGTGCCAGATTTTTCAGAACTATTAGGAACACTGGGCTGCTGTTTGCAGTGAGATTGTAACCTGACTCCTCTAATTTTCATGGCAGTAGTCTGGACACTTCTTAACTGATGCTTAATTTTACGCTTCAGAAATGCCAAGAAGCAAGAAATTATTAAAGCATACCGGAAATTAGCGTTGCAGTGGCACCCAGATAACTTTCAGAATGAAGAAGAAAAGAAAAAAGCTGAGAAAAAATTCATTGACATAGCAGCTGCTAAAGAAGTCCTCTCGGATCCAGGTATTATTTACCTTCAGCATTTTTCTCTTCTCTTGAAATAATGGACTCGTGATGTATTAGCTCTTCTTACCTACGGTCTGTCTCGGAGGCAGCATCGGGTGGTGGGTGGAGGGTGACGTTATGGACTGTGAGGGCTGTGCCTCGTCGTCCTCAGCCCTGCCGTTTCGTCCGCTCTGACTGAAGACCCGCAGGTACATGGTGCAGCGAGGGAAAAGCCCATCAGATGTGCAGTCAGGCCCAAGTGTGAATCTTGTCTCTATTTGAACAGGTTACAGCTTTTTTAGGCTTTTGTTTCTGCACCTGTGACACAAGAACACACCATTGAGTGTAGCACAGGCTTAGGCTCCTGCCAGCCTCACAGGTCAGTGGTAAATTCTCTATACCAACATGCCAGGAAGGACTGTGGCCGGGAAACCAGCATGCCAGATGGGATTACACAGAGGTGCGGTGAGGCCTGGGAGCCAGGGCCTGTTGGGCTCCCGTGGGTGTGTTCCCCAGAACCGAGATAGTAAAGAGTAAGTTCTGCCATTTCTGGGGAAGTTTAATGATAAGCTGATGCCATGGCTTTTTTGGTGGCCTTCTGTGTCAGTGGAAGCAGAATCTCTGATTTGAACTTGGCAGGTACAACAAAGGGAAGTCAAGTTTTCTCCCTTTGGCAAATCTTTTTGCACACCCCTTTATCCCGCGGGATTGAAATTAATGAGCCTTTGTTCTGAGTACTTTCACCCCAGTAAGGGAGGCAGATAAGCACTCACTAAGCACAGCAGGCATGTACTTCCTGTCCCGTGATTCAGCAGTGTCAGGTGCTGGTCCTTCTTCTGTGCCTACAGCACTCTCTGCGGTGTTCTCTCCGCTCGGTGCTGAGACAGTAGGGAACTCCAGTCGCGGGAGAGCGCAGTGAGCCTCCCCGAGTGATGTGACAGGCTCCTGCTCTCTTCTCATCTGAGGACATTTAGCGCTGTTTAGATCAACAGTGGCTCATGAAGTACTTGGGGGCCGGGTGTCGGTGAGTTCCCACATGGTTCTTCCATTGAGCATGACTTCTGGAGGTCTCTTTCTCGGGAATCACTCCAAGCCTCCTTAGTCAGTACCTGCATCTTCATTTGCTGATTTCTTTTCTAGAAATGAGGAAGAAGTTTGACGACGGAGAAGACCCTCTGGACGCAGAAAGCCAACAAGGAGGCGGCGGCAACCCTTTTCACAGAAGCTGGAACTCATGGCAAGGCTTCAATCCTTTCAGTTCAGGAGGACCATTCAGATTTAAATTCCACTTCAATTAAACTTTCTGCTCTTCTTCCTTAATTTTTTAAAGATTAAAAACAAAGAAAACATTGTACTGGGATCTCAATGAAAACAAATTTCAAATCTTTGTCCATGACCAAAGAGTTGTTTTAATAGGAAAAGTCCACTTTAGACTGAAGGTTAATGGCTTTGCCAGGGCAGGGAGGTGAGGAATAGTTCTGCTGACAGAGCAGCTGTACCCATTTCATCGATGTCCGGAAGTGGCTGGAAGCGACCCACCTGTGGAAGTGCTCATGGATCTGTCCCTTCCCCACACTGGCGCAGAGGTTCTTTTTCCCAGCGTGGCAGAGGACCCGTTTGGAGGAGCTGTCGTCTTCACGAGAACAGGCTGTGTTGCAGTATTCTTAGGAGAATGTGAACAGTTAAGGCACATGGTCTTAGGGACAACTATGCTTAGATTTTGGTGGCGCCTCGCTATTTGTAAGTGTTCAATTATTGCATCCTCTTTAACATGCAAGCCTTCTGCACCAGTGTCAACACGGCTGTCGGTAAGAAGGGGCAGAGTCCATTTGGTAGGAAACTTGCCACCAAATGGTAGTTTGTACATGTCCAGGTGTAGGCGGAGGAGCGATGTTAAGCGTATTTTGGGGGTGGTTGGTACCTAGACAAGGATACTAATTTAACTTGAATTTAATTGCAAAAACTTATGGGCCCTTTTGTTTACTATTAAACAGAACAAGTTCACTAAAAGTAATATGGAAAACAGGTTCAGATAGTGTATCTGTGGTATTATTTAAGTAATATTGTTCAAGTTTAGTTTGAAATACTTTTTAAGCAACCCAAGTTCTGAGTTGTGTTAGTAGGATTTCCTATAACACAACTGGCTTAGAAATTTAAAGTTGCTTAGTCAACAGAAACACACAGAATGCCATGATTGCTACTTCCGGGCAGTACAGTAGGGCGGCTTCTCTTATATGTGGGCCGAAGCAGCTTTCCCCTGGGAGCCGTTCACTGGTGCACAGCGGACAGCAGCTCTCCCCTCAGCCGGCCTGGGTGCCGGGAGGCGTGCGCCTACCTAGGAGGAAGGACAGACTTGAGAATCAGGCACCTCTGGCTGTGTATCACTTCATTTAAGCAGATGCTGTTTCCTCTGAGATACCTTTCTGTTACTTCTTAAGAAGGTAACTATCTAGAAAATGTACTCTTCAGTCTTTGTATATTGGATGATTTTTGCCCTAAAAAATGAGTGTTATTAAATCAAGATTTTGAATACTTATGGAACTACTGATGCTGCATTTAAAATCTAAGATAATTACTTAAGATATTACCTTTATTCTAGAAAGGTTTTTGTTTTTGCCTTGAAGCATTCTGAAACATTTTAAGCATTAAAAGGTCTAATGTGTTGGTTTTATGAAATCAAGCATTTTAACTCACGGAGGCATCCTTTCCATGGATGTCATAGAAGCCAAGCACAAATAATTTTCTTCTGTAGTCATCCCCTTAAACATATGCAGAAAAAAAATTTTAACTGAAGGACAGAATCACATAATTGAGCAAAGCACTCAAGTGCTCTTCGCATCTGTAGGAATCTTTCTTACCAATAAACTTAACAATGCATTTTGAAACTAGTGACGAGCTTGCAGTTTGTTTTAGTGACTCAGATCTCAAGCCAGTGTGAAATGTGCAAGGTAAATTCATCTTTGTTCTTTAATCTTAGCAATATCATTACCTCACTAATTATGTCAGCAGTGTGTATTTAAAAATCTGGTTCCTTCTGCAGATGTCACTGTGAACCTCTTTGAAATACAGTAATGACCTCTACCTACTTTCAAAGGTAGATTTCTACATACTGAGGACAGAGGACACAGGACGCTCACCCTCGCCTTGGGAGAGGATGCGAAGTTGCAGACAAGGAGCCAGAGGGGTCTGGGCTGCGGAGGGCCGGGCCGTGTGGGAGGTGTCTCTGGCCTCACTGTTTCCCAACTTGCTGCCCAGGCAGTTTTCTACATTTTTACTTTTTCTTGTAACAAAATTAACTGTGGATTAATGGAAATGTGCAGAGCTACAGGCCTGTTGCAGTGAAAAGCAAGCTGCTTTGGTGCCAAGTGCGAACGCCGCGAAGAGGAACAAATTCTCTGCCCTCTGCTGTTCTGCTGATTAATGAAGTAATGACCTTTAAGTGCCAGCCTGGATGGCCACTGGTAGTCTTCCGCTCCCCACCGGATGGGAAGACGGCCACTGTGCTTCCTTACCCAGGGGCTAGGAGAGTGCTGAATGTGTGAAGGGATAGAACAGTCACTCCCCCCCGCCTGACATATGCAGTGTAAACACACTGAGAGCATCTCCTCCTCCCCCGCTTTTTTTGGTGAGCCTACCTTCCACATTCCAGTCCATTTTTAGGGACTACAGGTGCCAAGTAACCTTTGTGGCTCTTCTGAGAAAAGTAAGAGCAGGAGAGGTGCCCTCTCCTTAGCTGTATTCCATTCCCCTCCTAACCATACCTTCCCTGTGGGAGTTTCTGCGATGGCGTGTCACAGGCACTTCCCACAGCAGGAAGTATTAAACACATCAGTTTTAAGCCTTATAAAAAAGGTCCTAATTCACTCCTCAGTTCTCAGAGCCCCTGCTTTCTGACCTTGAGTAGAGGAAAATGATAAAACAGTTAAGTAGCGTTGGAAGTAACAATATTAATTTAAAAATGTTTTTCTCTTTGGTCAGTGTTCTGTAAGTATCAGTATGAAAACTAGTTGTTAGAGTTCGGATAGTAGAATCTAAAACCTACCCACGATTAAAAAAAACATAATCATGTTTTATGAAGGCCAGCAGGATCACAATTTAAAATTGGCACCGTGTTGTGTTATTGGTAGGTAGTGAAAAATTTCAGGTTTAAAAGCATGAGGTTGTACTTGGTGTCCACCATAAAGAGCGTGTAAGAGGTGGAGGTTCAAAGTGGCTCTTCAGTCAGGCCTCTTAGAGCCGACAGCGTCACAGACCCGTGGCAGTGGTGCTGGGCCTTGTAAGAGGTCTCCATGCATTCATATCAGGATAACCTGGACAGATAAAAGCAGCTTTCTTGAATGGGGTTGACTTTTCCATGTTTATAAAAAAAGGAAGAAGGCAAATGCTAATTTGTCAACTAATATCCTTGCTGTAGGTCAGATCATTCCTTTTCTGTTAATGGTAGAATTTATTCTGTAATTTTGAATGCTATTAAGAGGTGGGAATAGTTTTTTCAGCTGATCTCTTTGTTGAACGATTTAAGCATAAAATTAGCCACTGCGTGGCTTCATGTACATTCATCTGTGGATGAAACGTTTACCTGCAGAGGAAAGCAGCGCACAGAGGAGGGGAAAATTGAAGATGCTTGACAAGGTGAATTATTATTCTTACCCTGAGGTTTGTTTTGAATGAGAAAAGGCTAAGTCCATCTCAATTTAGTGTTTTAATAAAGGAACCGAAAATTTGAAATAAGTCTGACATGTCTACAAATATGGGTACTATTTTTTATGCCCGTGTATTTTCACATTTAATAAAAATATTTATGGTCATATCAGTATTTTGGTTCATGTTTAGTCTTTGAGTATGAAAAATTCTAAGGCTTTTTAGAAGTCTGTTTCTGTCTTTGCATCACACAGAATCAGTGGCTGAGGTAAGAAAAGTGCTCCCCTTTTATGAAAAATCACAGCACAAAACCCAGGAGCAGCTACAATTGAATCCTCCAAATCCTAGGACAGCAAGGCTTAACAACAGGGTAATTCTTCCCTTTAAATATTAAAGTTGAACTCATTTCGGCCTGTGTGAAGACCTTCCCTTCCACCTTACTCGTTCATTTCTGTTGTCCATGCAGAGAGGGATGATGCTAACAGCCCATCTCAAATTTCTGGCACTAAAAGTCCTTTCTTCTCAGGTGTATATTCTGTATGTCCTAAGACCTGAGGGAGTTAGAAGACTTGAATGTAGACAGAACTTCAGAAAGGGCAGAGTTTCCTAATTCTTAGTCCTCGCAGCATCCTCTCAGTGTCTGAGCAGCCAGCCTTTGTCTTGGGAGGATGTGAACGCGTGCCACTGGTGCGGCTTGCTGACCACAGTGGGCAGCGGGGTCCTCATGCTCTGCCTGGAGCTGCTGAGGCTCCCGCTTAGCAGGCACTAACCCCTCACCATTAGTGAGATACCGCTTCAAATGAAGAAAAGAAAAAGACTAGGGATGAAGCTCAGTGCAAGGGTCCTGGGCTCAATCCTCAGTACTGGCAAAAAATTGTGCAGAGTAAGGTGTCAACTCACAAACGCTTCTGTTAGCAAACAGTTCAATTTGCAAGCAAAAGCATTCAGCAGAATTTTGCTTTTGTTTGCAGATTCTACATTAACTGACAAACACAACCATAGCCATCTTCCCCAAAATCATGTTCATAAACCAAGGTACACTGTACAGTATTAATGCAGGCATACAAATATTCACTGAGCGATTTTAGGTTTATATTAATGGGTGTTATCCCTTCACTGCACATTACGATTGAGTCACCACAGCTCTTCTTACAGTTGCTAAACTCCCTTGCACGGCCTTGTGTGCCCAGCTGCAACCTCACGGCACCACCTTTCAGTCCCGAAGGAACACAACTCCATGCTGTTCTCTCTTGGCTGACCAGTGCATGCTCCTAGCTTCAGGTTTCAGCCTAAATACCACTTCTTTTCCTGCCACTTGCCTTTCACATCCTTGCAACTGGTTACTAATGTTTGTCATTTAAACTGTTACTTCAAAAGGACAGTTGGCATGTTATACAGTAGTTTAGACCTCAAATTTCATCACAGTGATGGGAAGGCGACATCCCCTTACACTTCACCCTACTGCTTAACACTAACTCTTCATGCAGCACAGTAAGAAGTTGCTGAATTTGAAATATTTTTTGAATTGCTGAAATATGTTGAATTTGTTCAGGGTAGGGTGACCTTCTGTATTATAGACCTTATTTAGATGAAACTTTTTAGCAAGTTTTCTGGTGGAAAGCAGACCTGGGAGAAACAAAAACACTGCACACCAGTGAGATCCAAAGACATCAGACTGGCCAGGGGAAGGTTTAGCGACCCTGTGTAGAAACAGTCTGAATGCAGTGCTCTGGTCTGCTGTACTGTATGGTCAGCTGTATTTACTTCACATTGCTTGTACCACAAAGGCTAGGACCAAACCCCCATTTTAAATACAGTAAATGTTGAATGACGCCTTCCTTCAAATAGTGTTTTGGTTTTCGGTCATTCTTTTAAAATTTGAGCCAAGGATGTAGCTCAGTGATACAAACGCCTGCCTGGCAAGCACAAGGTTCTGAGTTCAGTTCCTGGTACAAAAAAAAAGTTGAGTCATTCTTCCATCAGCAGATCAGCTCAGGAAGGTTACTAAACACATACAGGGTTTGGCAGATCCATATGACTGAAGCAAACTTAAATTCAAGTAAGAGCCATCAGAGACGGGATTATTTTCCAAATCTCAAATCTTCACAACAAAGGTGTTAATAGTAAGTTCTAGGTCAAGAGGCTCCATTGCAGAATTTGACAGAAAATGCAAGTTTATATTTAATAAATGGGGTTGATAAGCTGCAAAGTGGAGAACAGCTGTCCCCTTGGCAAAAACACTTCAGCCTTCTTAAAAGGGTGACTGAGGGATAGACGTGCACACCTGACCAAGCAGTAAGTTACGAAGTTGCCTGCAATTTCAACTTTTGCCATCAAAGCCCTGGACCTTTACTTTTCTGAGGTCTCACTTAGTTGCCAAAGGTGAGATCTTAAAATACCCAATAGGTTCCTGAGGTCAGTGGAGCCCTTCAGTGTGTTAAGTAATGAATGGGCAAACAGTGGCTGGGGCATGACTTACGCTTTTTGGCTCTGAGTGTGGATCCATCAGCACCTCCGACTCTGGGACCTTGGACCTGACACGTCAGCCCTTTGGTGAAGTCTCACTTGTTCACTGGCAGGAAGTTAAGTTCCATGAACTTCTTTGCTGCTGTCTCTGAGAAAAAACGGAGCAGTCCTTGAAGAACTGAAGATGTTCCGCTTTTCTGTGTACTCCTTGCCTCTGACACTTCCGCTGGGTTCCTGAAGCCTCTGCTGAAGCCACTTTTGGCACCTTGCCCCAGAGACTGGGGTCAGGACCTGGTACAGAGGAGCACCCTTCCTCTGGGAAGGCTCCAAACTGTGTGTCCAACTATATCTTCAGTATAAACAAAGTCTAAATTTTACTCCAGGTGATATGGCCCTGGTGCCTTTTCAAAGTATTCAATGCTATTTCTGTAGGAACTTGAAAGTAACTGGAGCCAAATAATGAATACTTCCAAAATAAAGTCTTCTGAATCTAAGCCTCTGAACGTGATGAGGACTTTAGGTTGTTTTTAGTTCATATTCTGGGTCTACTGTAGTCCTGAACTTCATGTGTTACTACAGTTAAAGCTCAGACCTCCGAAGTGTTAACATTAAAGCTGCCTATCATATTTTCTTTAACAAGTGGGGAAAGGACAGACAACTTCTCAGGTAAAAAACATAGTTTGTTTTAAGTTACTGAGAAATTAGGGAAACCACACCTTTCATAATAGCACCAAAATATAAAATACTTAGGAATCAATCTAACACAGGAATCAATCTAACAAAGGAAGTAAAAGATCTCTACACTGAAAACTACAGTACTCTGAAAAAGGAGATTGAAGAGAATATCAGACAATGGAAAGACAGCCCTTGCTTTTGGGGAGGAAAAATCAACATAGTGAAATGGCCATACTCCCCTAATTATTACACAGGTTTACCTGATCAAAATACCATTGGTATACCTTACAGAACTAGGGAAAACATTGCTAAAATTCATTTGGAACCAAAAGAGACTGAGACTAGCAAAGGCAATTCTGGGCAACAAAGGCAAGGCAAGAGACATCACAATCATTGACTTGAAATTATACTGCAAAGCTTTTGTGATAAAAACAGCATGGCATTAGCAAAAAACCAGATCCAAGGATCACTGGAACAGATTAGAAAATGCAGAAACAACTCCAAACACACTCAGCCACCTTATCTTTGACTAAGGGGCCAAACGTTTATTGGAAGAAAGAGAACCTCTTTAAGAAATGGTGCTGGAAAAGCTGGCTTTCCACATGCTGAAGATTAAAACTAGAACCGTATCTTTTACCATGCACTAAACTAAAGTTAAAATAAATACAGATCTAAATATTAAAACAGAAACACTAAATCTGCTGGAAGAGTAAATAGGTAGAACTCTAGAAGACACAGTGCAGCCAAAGCCTTTATGAACAAAACTCTGATTGCATGGGAAATATTAGAAAGAATCAAGAACTAGGGTCTCATAAAAGGCTTTTGCACAGCAAAAGAAATCACCAACAGAGTGAGAAGACACACCACGGAGTCAGAAAACATCTTAGCCAGTTGTTCTTCAGACAAAGGACTAATATCTAGAATACAGAAAGAACTGAAAAAAATCAGTCCCCCCAAATTTAAGACCCAATCCAAAAATGGGCATGTGAAATGAATAGACACTTCTCAGAAGTAGAAATGGTACATAAATATATGGAAAAAGGTTCAACATCACTGATCATTCAAGAGATGCAAATTAAAACAATGCTGAGATTCCACCTCACTTTGCAAAGAATGGCTATTGTCAATAAACCAGTAACAAATGCTGGCAGGGCTGTTGAGAAAAAGGAACCCTTCTCCACTGCTGGTGGGAGTGCAGACTGGTGTAACCACTGTGGCAATCAGTGTGGAGATTCCTCTAAAAACTAAAACTAGAGTTTCCATTTGACACAGCTATTTCCCTTCTTGGTATTTTCTCAAAAGAATTAAAAGCTTTACACTACAACAGTATATGTGCATCGATGTTTATAGCAACACATGTTTATAGCTAAATCTTGGAAACAATCCAAATGCCCACCAATGTATGAATAGATAAAAAAAGATGTGTTTTTTTATACAGTGGAGTACTACTCAGTCTTAAAGAAGGATAAACTTAAGACATTTATAGTTTGATGGGTGCACCTTGAGACCATACTCTTTTTTTTTTGGTTTTTCTCCGGTATCGGGAACCGAACTCACGACCTTGCGCTTGCCAGGCAGGCGCTTTTGCCACTGAGCTAAATCCCCAGGCCCCTTGAGACCATACTCTTAAGTGAAATAAATCAGACACATATGCATAAATGTTACACTGTTTTTCTGGTGTGAGGAACTGAAAGTGTATGTAAGAACTAAACTATAAAACAGATATTGTGAAATAGGAAGAAACTGTTCATAAGGTGAATGGGGTGAGAGTGGAGGAAAAAAGGGAAAAGAAAAAATGGATAAAATAGAAACAAAGTCTTATAAATAAGGAGGGGAAGAGGGATTGAGAGGGGAGGGTAATGGGAGAAAAACAAAGAACTAAGATATATCATGTACAAGTACAAGTTCCCTATGGTGAATGTGATCGTTATGTGTATATAAACTGCATCAATATACTTAATAAAATTTTAAAAACCAAAAAATAGTTTATTTTTCCAGAATTTGATTTTTGTGAAAATTTGATACAAGACCTAC